TCAAAAGTACGTGGAATTACGTCTATTTGCTAAGTTTTATTGAAATATCCCCTAGTTCGCCACTATACAGGACTTGACACTGGAGATAATAAAAATCGGTTCTCACTACTCAAAGTATATTGAGAGAAAAATGCCTCAAAATGAAATGGGACCACTATGGAAGTACCCCCTTTCCAACAAAAAAAAGAATCATGAAAATCGGTTCACAAATACCGGAGTTATCGCGTAACATACATACAAAAAAAAAATAGAAAAAAGAACATACAGTCGAATTGAGAACCTCCTCCTTTTTTGAAGTCGGTTAAAAAATGACACCTAATGCGATCGTCACTTATGGGATCGCTGGCCAGCACAACTTCTACCTCCGGCAAACTCGCGTCAAACTCAATGCAAAACAAAGCAGTTCCGAATTGACCATATATGTATGTATATAATAAACTTTTTTTTATTTTTTTTTTTAATCAGCTACCCCTTGCTATACTAGTTTATAAAGTTTAGATTTGCGATTTGACCTCACTATTGTAATCTGTCAAAACGGCCATCATGGCGTGCCGGTACTGTAGCAAACTTATTCCTTTTTACACAACATAAGAATAGCCAATTATATTGAAAAAGCTATGTCAACGCCGTGATACACATGAGTCGAGTGAGCTCTGTTACTGACAGGAGATATTTGTACAGCGTTTGGATATAGGTTTCTGGAAGTTTAACCGTTGACAGAAATGTAACGGGTATATTATTGAATCTGCATTCAGAAATAGCTAGTAATTTTTCACTATAAGATCTAGTCGTCTGTCGTTTACCTACGAAACTCATTTATGGCTTTAAAACTAAGTCTTGATTAAAAGTAAGAAATATCGACATCAATCATCAAAGTACGTCGTAGGTTAAATTCTTAAGACGAGAGTTTAAAATTAACTTTTGACTTTAAAATGGGTTTGTTACTTAAACTAGTTCTGTGTAGGTGGCGACGGGGTGTGTTACTTGATATTGTAAACTTTTCTGTGAAATTTTATTTACCTAACCGTTAAAAAAGAATTAAAATATTTAATTATATTTCTCTGAAATGGCGAATAGAAACTAGACCAAAATCCCAAAAAATTCAAATCTCCGTTACATTTAAGAGGAATACAGCTCCTTGTTACGTTTTTACGTAATATATATGTAGATATATATGTGTAAAGATCTGAGGGGTACTGCCACTGAGACATAAGCTGACAAGTTCCATGTGCCTGTAATTTCACCAGCACCCTTACCCTTCAAAACCGGAACACAGCATTGCTGACATTACTGCTTGACGGCAGAAATAGGTAAGGCAGTATGTAACACATTTTTTTACAAAAACAAAAACAAAACAACAATAAAATTTATCTTCTCTCCTTGGTAATTTCAACATTCTTGTACAAAATGTCACTTTGACATTATAGTTTAAAAATATTTAGTAAATTAATTGAAACTCTGGACGAACTCTTTCACAAGGAAGTCTATTGCTACATAACGAATCTAACTGTGGTACATGCAAAAGCTTTCTATTTTAATTGTTATTGTAATAAGATATTATTTCAATTATTTTTGTAACATTTATTAACAAAACAATCAATCTGCGTGAAAACAATCAATCTCCCTAGCTTAATGTTTCTAGAATTTTATCAAAGTTCTATTTTCAAAACAACAGCTGAGCTACGTTTCGTTTGGAAGGTTTGTAATTAATTATTCCAGCGTGCCTTTTAGATTATGTCACCACTTTAACATCCGTAATGAATACCGGCATCAATGAATGCGGACGCTGATGCGGATGTTGATATTTGCAACAACTCCGGTTGCTACCTACACAGCGCTTGTCTTTATAACGGAATGAAAAAATAGCCTAAAATATTACTTTGCAAGAAATAGCTATCGTCTTTCACGTAACGTGTTGTTGTTTTTTTGATATTGGTTTAAGTGTATTTGCAAGTTGATTACACTATCTGTGGCTTGTATGTGCAGGTGTTTGGAGACGAACACGGCAGAAAAAAGCCAATGGAAGTGCCTTAGCCTCGATTACTATCAGAAGTAATGTCACCAATATTCACATATTCTTCCTTTGAAACACTACACAATCTTGATATTGATTGGACGTAGTTTCAAATTTAAAAAGAAGTAACAAATTCTGGATTGTTAATATAATTTAAACTTTACCCTGTTGACATATCGCTGAAAGTTCTATACCATCGATACCTATTATTGCAAGTTACGACGTTTTGATATTATATTGAAATTACAGTCAATGTGCTGCCATCTAGCGGTTAATTGCTGAACGACGACGAACTGGAGTTATCAATTTAGTTCTCCAAAAAAGAAGCAACTAAATTGCAGGGGTATAAACTTATATACTATATAATAACGCATTTTTCTAGGATTTTAGAGACTTTGCACGAAATAATGACACAACTATACCACACAAAGCGAAAATGGCAGACTGAGCTCAAGTAGGTCTTTCGAGAACTATGGGTCGTATTCTAGAACTCTACTCAATGCTCAAGTCAGGATTTGAGTATGGTTTAAAGCACTCGAAATCATACTCAAGTCCCTGCCATTAGGGTCGTATTTCCAGTGTTTGTGTTTCCAGTGCAATCCTGACTTGAGCATTGAGCAGAGTTCTAGAATACGACCCTAAGATTGGCACGCGTCAGACGCTAACTAACCACTTTTACAGCATTTACTGTTCTGTGGACACGAAGGACACACCAGCACGTGCTGCATGGTCGGTGTTTTTTTTTTTTTTTAATATATAATAGACACACGCTTGGCCACAATCTCACCTGATGTTAAGCGACGATGTGACCGACGATGGGACGCGTTTGCCTAAAAAATGCCTATTCACTCTAGCCTTGAATAGCCCCAAATTGTACTTTTCGGGAAATACAGATTAGTAGAGCATTCCATTCCTTTGCCGTACGCATCAGAAAGGAGGAGGCAAAGCGCTTAGTGCGAATAGGTGGAATATCAACGACATAAGAATGGAGTGCTCCGGACCTTCTAGTCGACCGAAGGAGGAACGGTGAGGGCGGAACCAAATTGAAAAGTTCCTGCGCACACTCCCCGAAATGTATCCGATAGAAAACCGACAAGCAGGCTACTTTTCTGCGATGATCGAGATTTTGGAGCTTCGACTCCACAAGAGGATTATTGTTAATAAGTCTCTTTGCTTTACGCTCCACCGAGTCCAAGGCAGCTAACTGGTATTGGGCAGAGCCGTCCCAAAGGTGGCAGCAGTACTCCATACAGGATCGAACTTGTGCTTTATACAGATTTAAAAGCTGTTCAGGTGTGAAGTACCGCCTGACCTTGAAAAGTATGCCTAGTTTTCTGGCAGCAGTTTTTGCCAAGCACTCGATGTATCGCCCAAAGTTGAGGTTGGATGATAAGTCCAGACCAAGTAGCTCAAGGTGGTCCCTTATCGGCACGGATACACCTCGGAAAGTCGGAGTAAGGTGTAGGGGACTCCGTTTTGATGAGAAAAGACACGCCTGTGTTTTAGCCGCATTAAACCTGACCCTGTTAGCATCTCCCCAGTCGGAAGCAGCTTTCAGACTCAGGTTCAACCGGGTGACCATCGCCTCTCGCTTACACCGTATATTGTTAGTATATTTACATAAGGTAGATGGTCCATTTCCGGTTTTATAACAATAAAAAAACATTTTAGAATTGTTTATTGCTAGTTAAAAGTCGATTTATAATAAAACTTAAGCTATTCATAATATATAATATGGAATAAATTGCACAAAATAAAAAAATAATCTTCATACAGCATTGTTGGACAACGCGTAAATGTAAAGTAACCGCGTAGGTTATTACTTTATTACCAATTATTTTATTATTCTTTATTATCTTATATTATGGTCACAATTAAAAAGAAAGAAACAGTCGGCTGGGGTCAAGGACTCATGTTCAACAACCAACGAATAATAATGCCGTATCGAGCAACACCGCTTTCTACACTAGTACTGAAAGAAACACATTTGAACGAAAG